CACACACACACACACACACACACACACACACACACACACACACACACACACAAAAGAAAAACCCACACTAACCCGCTCCTAAGATTGACAGAGTGCATTCTTGGGAAATGCCAGAACGCCTTTGAGGGCAGTGTGGAAAGTTCTGGTGTCAACACATCTTTGTGCAGCCTGGGGTTCCATCAGTTGAAAAGGTTGAATTTTATTCAACTTTTATTTTTTATTTTTTGGCCCATGCACACAAATAAACACAGACAAACTTAAATGAGCCTGGCTGCTGCGCTCCCACTGGGGAAGTCATGCGTTTTGATGTAATCATGCTTTGGATGAGCAAGCATAGCCTTGCATCTTTCACAGTTTATGAGTGTGTGTTTGTGTTTGTGTGTTGGTAAAGTGTGTTGTATTGTTATGGCACACTGTCGGAGGCGGCTCTTTGCTCGACGCTTTCATTATTCAACTCTTTTTTTTTCGTTGCACTGTACAACCCTGTTTCAGTATAATGACAATAAATTGAATTAAATTTTGTTGCGTCATCACCATAGGCCTGTACTGGTGGTACAGTAAATGAGAGCTGGATTTGCTGGGATGACATTACCCTTTATGAGAAGTCTGGGAATTATGGTTAGTAGCCATTCACAGCATGAACTGCTTTACAGTGTTTAATCAGGGTCTGTAAAATAAACCTAACCAGCTCTGGAGTACCAAACATGCATTTGATGGTATCCATCACTCACAGGCTGCAGTTCTGAGACACAACTTGTGGTGCGAGCCTATCCATGGGAAATATTTTCTCCTCTCACAGTTCTTTCGTTCCATTATTTATGGAGGGCAACAAAAGTTGTGGCTCACATGGTTATGGTTAGCAAGAGAGGGCTTTTGAAGAGAGCAGTCCTTGTTTCACAACACAAGGGAGAATTGAGAAGGTTTCATCGTAAACCAAACAAACATGACTTGTCTTTTTTCCCTCAATTTCTTTGTTCTTTTGGACTCTGTTTTTTTTTCTTTTTAGTTTTCATCAGACATAAAAAGACCTTTGCAACAACACTGAGATTTCCCTTCCTGCCACTGCAGGTTTATGTGTGACTTATTAACATAGTGTGCAAAGGTGCAAGTTCTCTCATCTTTCCTGGGAGGATGGTTGTTTGGTTTGAAAGGCTACCATCTCCTCCAGCAATGTTTGAGTTTCACAAGTTCCTAAATCTGCACGCTCAGAGGCAGGCAGAACTCGGTGCTGAGTGATTGTTATCCGGCAGATAAAAAACTGACGTTTTACGAGGCCATGAGTATCTGCTTGACGTGTTTCTGCTGCGCAAAAACAAACTCCCAGCAAGGCAACAAAAATGCTGCCTGTCTTTTGTTTTTAATAATTGGAAATTTATTGAAGAATTAAGTCTTCCTTGTGAGTGATTGGTTTATGGTTGGCTCACTCTGCCTACCTTTGGCACAGCTGCTTGCATTTCTTTATGAAACGAGGATATGTTTGGTCCTGCCCAAACCTAACTGCTTGTCACCTCACGAACCCCTTTATTTTCACGAGCCTTGGAAAGACCAAAGGAAATCAGACCCTCGTTAGTTTATTGCAAACCGTCCTTTCATTTGAGCAGCTGTGTGGCCCTGWGAGGATGAAGAAAGTGGCTTTTGTGCAGTTTTGGTTTGAGGGCCTTCCTCTGGTCCAGATGCCTGACCAGAGCAGAGCAGACCTGGCAAAGCAGCTTAGGGAACAAATTTCCTTGGTTTGAGGTTTCTGGTTGAAAACCTGCAGTTAAAAACTAAATTTGGCTAACGGAGTCCTCTCAGAATGTATCAAGTGGAAAGTAATTTGATCTGACTGGTCGAGCTTCTAACAGCCTCTCATCTCTCACAGGTTTTGTGCCCATGAATGTGGTAGTTTTCCCCGAAATTCTCAACAGATGTGTCAAAAACATCTTTGTCGTAAATGGGTGTCGACTCTCGGAGCTCTCAGCCACCCACTTTCAGCTCTCATTCATTTCATCCCCTCACAACATGCTGCACTGGCCAGCAGTCATTACCTCAGCACCTCGGCATGCTACCAGCACTGCTGTTGCTATCTCAGACCATTTATTTCAGCTTCACTCCTCGGCTGCCTCCTCCAGAAAACGACCATCTGGCTGACCCACATGTGTCTTAAATCTGCAGTTCTGTCGGAGGCTCTGACTCAAACTGAAGTTTAGGTTTGACCAGCAGAGACTTTTATGGACAGAGTTTACATGACTGGCTGTTGCTTCATGGATTGTAGTTTTGGTGAATTCTACGGGAGAAAACTCGTCTCGTAGCATTAAGAAGACTGTACACGTTGATGCGTTGTAGACTTGCATGATTGTGGGCCATGTGGGCTGAAGCAGGTCCAGATCAGATGCAAAACTGGCTTTCATCTTGAAACATATCTGCTGTAAAATAAGTGAAACTCAGCGTCATGGTGGGTACAAAGCATAAGTGCAAGACCTCAGTATCTGACAATGTTGGTGATGCATATTTTTTTAACGTTGACTGCAGCGACAGAATAAATGAAGATCTGAAACAGGCCGAGGATACATATCTATCAAAAGCAGCTGGGGGTTGGAGACCTCCCGCTGACAACTCCTTGATCACAGCAAGTGTAAAACATTCCTCTTTTTGCCCTTTCATAAACACAAAGAAAAGCTTGAGAAGGAAGCGCGGCTCAAACACTTTCCCAGATGTTTGTTCAACAACCAGCAAACAAGCGGAAAGTATCCATCAGAGTCAGGATCCAGTGACCTCTCTGCCCTTTAAACTGCAGCCCACAGGCAGACAAAAGCTGTTTACATGTGTTTAAACATCTTTAAATGTCTTGGCTCTCAATGCCAGAGTGAAAAAATGAGGAAGTTCAACAAATGATCTCAAAATACAAACTAACTTCTTTTGTTGTTGGGAACTGGAACAATGGATGCGTTTTATGGGAGATGTTGTATTTTTGGAACCAGAGTCTGAGCACTAAGGGTCTGCCAGTCATGGTCTCACATTACCCTTCTTTTAAATACAGAATAACTAATTAAGCAATAAAGCAGCTAGACTAGAGATATAAATACAAGTCTATAAAGGGACAATTTCTAAGAACAAATACAATGTTTGATTTTATTTAATTTTTTTTACACCAGCGCCATGGTAATTGATTCCAACCAGCACTTTTCCAGTCGGGGTTGATCATTTGTGGACATGGAAGTCTTAACCCACAGCAGCTGGTTACACTATAATTAGCAGCAAACCTAAGATTTGACTGTTTAGTTTGACTACAAACTCATCTTGTGCAACTTAACAAATGCTAGATTTGAAAATGTGACATGTTTGTTATAATCAGAGTTGCCTAAAGATTAATTTGAGCAGTGTGTTCTCTGTTATGGCTGCTGCTGAATAAAAGCTGTGATAAGAATAAGGAGAGATGTTGTGGTGTGGACGTCTAGAATAAACTCAAGGACTGGAATAGAAAAGGGCACTCCCCAAAACTGTCCTCAACCACATAAATACAGTTCAAATACCTGATTATATTTTTACTCTGGCTTGTCCTTTTGGTCACACTACAAGCCTGCTTCCTGGGTCATTCCTACAATACATATAGGGGCGACTCTTTAGATTAGAAGGAACTGCCAGCTCCTCCTCAGAGGCGCAGACACTGATGCTTCCTGTTTAGATTTGCTACTTCCTTTTTTTGACAATGAACTGAGAAATAGTCGCATCTTATTTGTCCTGTAACCATAACTTAACTGAGCTCAGTTATAATTTAAAATGCACTCACTCTGTTTATCTTTGAGCTGGGTAATTATATGCAGACACTAGACAGTGTATTTTGGCTGAGGTTTCGTGCGATCTCTAATTAAGATGGGAAAAAATGTAGTATCAGAATCAAAATAAGTAAATAAAATAAAAAACACAAAGTCCCTGAAATTTTGCTGAAGACAAACTGATGAAATGAGGTGAACTCATGCAGGAATGGTGCAGACTGTCGTCACGGTCAGGACTGGATGAAAGCAAACTAAAAACACATTCCTTCTAACAAAACATGCTCTCATAACTAAAACACGACTGTGAACAACAGACACAACTGAACCCTCCTAACTTGTGTCTCATATGTCATCGTGACTTTGTCTTCATGACCCAGTCAGTCCTGTGTTTAGATGAATCAGTGATTCTTCTTTTCTTTCATCTACGGAGATTATACTGTTTGCAGCCTTTGAAAAGTCTGGTGTTTTCCTTTAAATGACTCAGACCTTATACAGCATCACTCCTCATTCCTGACAGATGTGTTTGAAAAAATGTTACTATTTTAACCTTAGCTGATGCAGGGAGAATCAGCTAAATGTATCCATTTGTTCCCTACAGGCTGAGCAACCTATATATGTTTATAGGGTTTTAATTATGACCCCCACTATGTGAAGCGGGGGTCATATTGTTTTGTACTGGTTACTTCACTTTAGATTTTTGGTCAACCGTAGCACAGAAACGGCTGCACCTAGCAGCATGAAATTTGGTAGGAATATATAGATGTGGCCGACCTATTCTGCAATAGCAAATAGTTTTGCGATTGACCCCACATTTCAAGTGGGGGCGCTATTTGAAAAGCTGGTGTCTGGACATACAAAAATGCTTATAGCTCAAAAACTCTTCATAGAAGCTTCAGATTAGTTTTGTTGTTTAGCTCTGATGAAGGATCATTTCATGACATCATTTTATGCAACTGTCACATAGCAGTAGGCAAAGCAATGAACACACATGACTGAAAACTGTTATTTCCAGACTGTACATCCATAAAAATGATCCAATCTTGATGAAATTTGGCACAGATGTTGTCCTATCTGCCCTGCACCAATCCAACAGCCTCATATATGCATGTTCATTAACTTCACCCAAAATAACTTCTACTCGAAACAGTCTCTGTGGATCTTTTCTATCTTTGTAATGCATCTATCCTGGAGAGACTAGTATATACAGTACATGACATCATATGTTTTAATATACTGTAAATACCAGAACATCTTATACAGCGGCAACCCATATGTGAGTTCTGGTGCATATATGCTACTGCCATGTGGTATCTAGTTTAAACTGTTGATAGCAAGGATTAGAGCAATGACATCACAGAGATTAGCCTACTTTTATTAGATGAACAAGATTTCTTTGCTTTTGTGACTCTTAAAGATCTCGTGCGTGTTTTGTAGTAAAGTTTACCTTTTTATGTGATTTAAAGTAAAAATAAATTAAGCTTCCTTCATTGTGTTATACATTGCTTTAGCACATCTCGCTACATTAACCACTTTACTATTTAGCATCTAGAAGAGAAAGTGTGTTTCATGGTGATGTCATGACAAAGGAAACACAGACTTTAGGTCAAGGATATGCAGTTTAATATATAAACAGCACAAAAACTAAAGAAATTTGTTTTTAAAGGATTATTATTTTTTTTGTTGTAACAATGCTTCTTGGCAATGAATCACATTAGAAAACCATTTCATTTATCTTTTAGATGGTGCCACATTTGTAAGGAACATGCATTTGTGGGATGAGTAATATGTGCTGGACACATGAAACATTTGCCAGTCAAGCACCCGCTATAAGATTTTTTGCCGAGAAGCATTGCTACAACAAAAACATAATTTAACAAACACAAATGTCCTTACTTGTTTGTGCTAAGTAAACATTGTTGGAGATAATGCACCATCAGATTTTTATTGTGGACCTGTTGGTGGAATTTGAGAACAAATTGAAGATAATGTCAAAACGAATGTTCCAAGTGGAAAGAAGATATTCCTTTTTTATTAGTTTGAAGCTAATTAGGGATAGACAATTCGTCTGCTAATACTGGCCACTTTTTTAAAAATTAGCTATCAGCAATTAGGGCTGTGTATTGGCAAGAATTTGATGATACAATTCATATCATGACAGAGGGGTCACGATACGATATATCCCGATATATTGCGATACCATAAGCAAGGCGATATATTGCTATTTTTTGGCTAAAATTCTATTAAATAAAAACCTCTTACTGGGAAAAGAATGTAAAACTAAAATTCATTGTCTCAGAAAATTCTAATATTACATAGACATGCTTTTGATACATTTAGCTGTGGTCTGCTTTGTATGTATTTTATTTTATTTGTTTCATATTTCTTATTTCATCCATGTTTTCAATTATTAGACTAAATTTGACAATAAATAGTTTGAAAATATATTTTTTGCAGCTTTTAGTTTTTAATACTAATTTACAATATGGTCAACCAACACTAAAGAATAGCCTCTACCTCAAGAGGTAGAGTAGCCAAATGGCTGGCTCACTGCTGCCAACTAGTGGTCAGAGGCTGAACTACAACATAAAAATGAACAGCTGGCAGCAAAGTTGACATTTTAAACCTTAATAAAACATCAATACAGGGCTTTAGAATATCGATACAGTATCGGGAAATGAAATGTTGCGATATTTCAGTGTATCGATATTTTCTTACACCCCTATCAGCAATGCATGTACAAACTTACTCCATTACCAAGACAGAAAATTAAGATAAAGCAGCAGCTGCTCCAACCACTGCAGTCTAGTAAGTTAATATCAACTTTGATGTCTAAGGATTTTAAAAGTAATGCATTTATCAGAAAATTAAAGAACGCTGAGGACCGTGCGTCAGTCACAAGGGTTTCTCATTATGTTGATCTGTAGAAATTCCATCCATCCATCCATCCATTTTCTGTACACGCTTCTTCCTTTTCAGGGTCGCGTGGGTCACTGGTGCCCATATCCAGCAGTCACAGTGCGAGGGGCGGGGTACACCCTGGACAGGTCGCAAGTCCATCACATGTAGAAATTCCAGTTTAAATTAATTTTTCACATAGACTATAAATTACTGAGACCTCCAGTGAGGTTTGTGAGGACCACCAGGCAGTTTGTAAACCAGTTTCTGCATAGTTTTCTGTTTGTATCATCAGGTTTCATCGTGCTTTCAGAGAAATCCCTTCACTTCCACCAGATGATGGCTGTGGTGGGGTCAGTGTGGTCACTGGAGCTAAATTATGATACAGCAGCAGAAGGACTTTTGCTTTCAGAGGGACCTGGTGACTCACATAAACACAAGTTTTTCCACACAGAGACGGGGCTGCTTCTGCTTAGTGTCAGGGTTTGTTTTTCCCAAGCATGACTCAACCTATAGGTATAGATTTTCTTCAGCCATCTGCTTCTTGTGATACACATTGGAGTGACTGGCATACTTTTCTGCTGCTGTCAAATGTGGCATGCTGCAACACAACTCTGCAGTAATCTGTGTTAACAGCTGCCTAGACCAGCAAAACACACAAGGCTCCTGTTGTTTTGCAGATGAGCTCACAGAGGCCTGCTAAGAGAGATTAAAGTTTGGACAGAATAAACTTCACAGTCCCCAGAGGTTTTTGTGTGTGATTCATCATGACTGTTCTGCAAACCATCTGGAAGTGAAGCTCGTAGTCTTCTTGCAGCTGGCTGATGATGAGTTTGGAGTCAAATGAGCCGGTTTGATAACAAAAAGATAAACTGGCTCTCCTGAGGGAAAAAGAGTAAACGTGAGGAAGTTTGATGATTCATAGTGGAAGGGAAAATGTTTCTGTTATTCTGACCTTATTCATCTCTGTTCCTGTAGGTTTCAGGCCGTACTATGACTAAAAGAAGCCTCTTCGGTGCATTGTAGCTGTTTGGGATGACCGAAGCATCACCGTGCCTCAGTAAGAAGAAGGAAAAAGCAAAAAAGAGAACCTTTTGCTGGGAGGACAGACAACATCTGCCTTGAGAGGATAAGATCAACAGTCCAGCTGGATCCACACAGGGAACCTGCCTGACCTTTCTGTTCGAAGGAAGAGGAATTTAAACTGCCCTGGAAACATTTAAAGCGCTTCACCCAAATTAATTTCCACTTTTGAACTGGTGTTCTCGGAGCCAACGCCATGTGTCACGTTATTGTGACGTGCCGCTCCATGTTGTGGACTCTCTTCAGCATTGTGGTGGCCTTTGCGGAGCTCGTCGCCTTCATGAGCCCCGATTGGCTGCTGGGCAGTCCTCGGTCGGACCCCAGTGGGAGCACTGTGAGGAGCAACGGGGAGGTGAACCTAATGGAGTACCGACCGTCTCTTGGCCTCTACAGCCGCTGTCTCCGTATCGGCCCCGGGAGTGTGGGGGTCAGCTGTGGGCCTTATGCTGGGACTTTCGGGGAAGTGGCCAGCGGCTTCTGGCAGGGGGCCATGTTGTTTCTGGCAGCCGGGACGTTAGTGCTCGGGTGTGTGGCCTGCATTTCCATCTTCAGTCTGTGTTTCCAGAGCATCAAGAAGAAGAGCATATTCAACATCTGCGGGCTGCTCCAGGCTATCGCAGGTGAGATGTTAATATTTGTGGAAAGATGCAGCTGTTTGTGGAAGGGTGGTCCCCTCTAAGAATATTTTGGTGTTGTTATGTATACAAAAGTCTACATGATTGACTGTATGAGAGAATGAAAAACACAACATCCTGCCTTGTCTTGGTGTTGAGAATAAAAGCAACAGGATCATGTTTTATGGGATCTGCCATGTTGTGTTTTTGGAACCAGAGTCTGTGCATTTGAGATGCTTCTGCCTAAAGGCATCTGCGGAGCCCACGAGGGGACATGGGGGAATTTTTTTTCTTTTGCGTTCCCACGCAATACCTTTGCGTTACCTTGCAATACTTTTGAGTTGCTTCGCAATACTGTTTTGCATTCCCACGCAAAAAGTTGTTTTGTATATGAACTGAATTAAATCAGACTTTAATTTTGAAATATCCGGTTACCAAAACAGGATGTGTCGCCACAAGTTTGTGAAATTGACGTTGTTGTTGCGTGGCTGTACCGTGTTCAAATATCAGCATATGACATACTTCCATGYGTGGTTGTGTGATATATTCATTCTAAAGCTGAATTAAAGTAGTAGGCTAAGTCGCTAATGGTGAACATGTGAATGTGTTAATAAACCGGCAGGCACAACAGTGTTTAATGACTTTGCAAGGGAACGCAAAAGGTATTGCGAGGTAACGCAATACTATTGCGTGGGAACGCAAAWGAAAAATAATCTCCCGTGTCCCCTCGTGGGCTCCGTAGGCATCACATGAGCTTTATTTTAAGCACAAAATAACAGATAATAGCTTAATGTATTCAAAGAATGAATATTTGAACAAAAGTCCTCCTGAAGAAAATAGCCTATAGAGACATTGGGCCCATTCTGGCTTCAATGTCTGTGTTCCTATGAGATGTCTATTATTTTTTGTACTATTTATGGTCTATGTTATTTAAAACCAATTTTTACACATGAAGGAATYCCACTTTTCTATTTAACTCATCTGTAAGATCTAAACTAGAAACTTTGTGCCAATGAGCACACAACGCAGCTAACAGACTTTCGGCTGTAGGCAGGTGCTGCCTTGCTCAAAGGCACCTCTCCTTGTGAATACTGGAGCCGTACTCAATGCCACAGTGACTACACAACTRTAATCCTTACCATGTTTTCATAGACATTCCTCACAGTAATCATAAAGTTCAAGGTTTGCAAAGTTTTCTAGTTTTTAAATGAATCCTGTCTTACACTGATAACAAATTTGTATAAAAGTTTGTATAAAAGTTTGCATGTAGACTAGAGGAAGACTTAAACGTTTTATCTTGCTTTAAAACAACAATCAGTCAGTAAATAAAAACACTTCAGAAACATGTCAGAYATTATTACCTTGAAATGCTTGTTTGTGTGCACAGTTTGAAAAARGAACCCAGAAAACATATGTTACATAAAAAAATGAAGCAAACCATTGATAAAATGTGCTTTAAAAACAGGGAACTGTGCCTTTAAGACAAAGCATGAACATTACTGAGAATAGCCTGCGGGGAATGTCACTGTTGTGACTTGACTTTACGCTGCACTTCTCAGAATGCGATTTTGTTTTCACACTGCGGATGTTTTTCTTTTGTCGTTTTGTGTTTCTTTTACCAATCGGCTGCCACGTGTCTGTTTAGCAGAACACACTTTAGTTGAAGTTTGACTTCGCTGTAGCAGATCAGTGAACTGGGCTCAAGCTGTTCTTTTGCTCTCATCACAAATCAAATGCCTGTCAGCCGTAGAATAGATGTTATCTGAACCAGAGATGAGTCTGAGCCTGTCTGCACCGTGATTCTTTTTTTATTTTCAGTTGAATTGTTGTRAAGCGACCGTCTCCCTTTCTGCTCTCCCTTCAGGGCTGTTGTTGATGGTGGGCCTGATGCTGTACCCTGCAGGCTGGGGCTCGGTGAGGGTGATTTACTTCTGTGGCTCYGAGGCCTCGCCCTTCAGGCCCGATCAGTGCTCGCTCGGCTGGGCGTTCTACGCAGCGATAGGAGGAACGCTGGCAACCTTCCTGTGCTCCGTCCTGTCTGCACAAGCTGAGATTGCCACTTCCAGCGATAAGGTYCAGGAGGAAATCGAGGAGGGCAAAAATCTGATCTGCCTGTTCTGAGTCTCCAGAAATCACATTTAGTGACGTTTCTCGGACGTGCACACCTGGACTTCTTAGTGGAAGAAGCACTCTTTGATTGTCCGGATGAACGATTGTTAAAAAAAAAAAACAACTCGGGTTTAACCACTTGTTTTATAATTTTTTTCTTTTCTAAAGCCCTTTTTCTGTTATTAAGTCAAAATCTCTGTTTCAGAGCTGAAAAAAAAAAGCGAACAGCAACAGTTTTTTTTGTACAAAAGTTTATTTTTCTAGAAAGTCTTGCTTTAAATCACTATATAGAAAAGCAGATTTGTTAAAGGGGACATATGCAAAATCCATTTTTTAAAAACAAACATTGTTTTAAACATTKTGTTGTGTACTTGGAGTCTCTAGGAGTGCAGGAAAGTTTAATTCATATGCAACCTGTTCAGTTTTCCCTGTTTTCTATTTCGTTTTCTGAATTATTAMATCAAACTATTTGTGACAGAACTGCTAAATAAGATCTGGACTTAACAACTACAATTTGGTGGTCTTCATTCTCCTCTGGCTCTGGGTCAGACTCTGGCTCCAACATGTAYGGCTGGATGGACAAGTCTTSCCTTGTTGACATCGTTTAATTAATTTGTAAATAAAGATTTTCGACGCAGCTACAGAGTCATAAACCCCTCTCTCAAACTGGAATGGACTGGTCTGGAAGCTGGAGGGGGGCGGGATGTAAAGC